ACATCAACGCCCTCCTCCAACTCCCCAACCCTCCCCCTCACTCCTTCCTTCTCTCGCTAGACTGGTCCAAGGCCTATTACTATGACAGAGTCTCACATGCATGGCTGGATCATGTCCTAGTACATCACAAATAGACACCGCACGCTGAGCATCCACACTTGTAAACCTTAACAACCAATACAAATCCCTCCTCCCCTTTATATTATACGCGTAGAAATAAAATATGAGTAATTCAACTAGACGCGCATCTAATTCACATATGACAACAGAAAGAAGTACAGTTAATAGTAGAAATAACAGTAATAGAGGGAGTAATACTAATAATACAACAACAACGACGACAACAACAACAACAACCACTGCCACTACGACAACGACGACGACAGGAAGTTCAAATAATAACGGTGCTACTCCGCTGAATATTAGTAGAGTTATCAAAGGAAAAACCCCAGCACCGACTAGTAGCAGCGCTAAAAGGTAAATTTCAACGTCAAAATATGATACAGAGAATCGAGAGGAAGGGAGAGTGAATATACGCGTTCCTCTTGGAATACAAACGCATTATAGACCTTACGCCTGTAGATTAGTAAAAATAAACCTAATGGATTGACATATACAAGAGCATTAGCTTATAAATTACATATTTTATCCTCTACCATTCAACGAATTACATTACAGAATTCAAAAAGAACTTGCAGAAATCAGTCTCGATCCTCCTTGTAATTGCAGGTTGGTTTTCCATTGTCGAGTTATTATCTCTACTCTCTAATGCATTCATGCCGGACGTAAAACTCAACCAACGTCTCTTTGTTTCTTTTAATCCCAATCCTACCATGTCTTTTACTTTCCACCGTATCTGCGACACTTTGAAAGTGCTGGTCCCAAGGGTGATAATCTGTACGAATGGGTGTCGACCATTATGGGCCCCGCTGGCTCACCCTATGCTGGAGGGATTTTCTTTTTAGACATTACGTTTCCTCAGGACTATCCTTTCAAGCCTCCAAAGGTATGTGCGTAGAATGTGGTGCAAGAGAAAAGAGAGGGGTCGATGCCAATTTAGTATATGGATGAGGATTAGTGTCAATTGTCGTGTGTGCGCTGGATTATTCTTTAACAACATTCATTCTTTAGATATCTTGTTCGTCTAAACAACTGCCTTTCTAAACTTTATCCTTTCTCCATCTTTTTATCTTGTAGGTAGTCTACCGTACTCGCATCTATCATTGTAATATTAACTCGCAAGGGCAAATCTGTCTGGACATCTTAAAAGATAACTGGTCTCCGGCATTGACCATTTCCAAAGTGCTTTTATCTATATGTTCCCTTCTGACCGATTGTAATCCACGTAAGCATCATTAGAATTTTATCAAGTGGGGAGAGGCATGTGCACCAGATTGTGCATGCATTAAGCAACATTCGGAATCGCTTTTCACACGTTCAGTTTGACGATAGCATAGGAATTGCTTGAGGATGGGAAAAACTTCATTGATTTGTGTTTATTAACGAGTGTGTGTATTTTTTTCTTTAGACGATCCACTTGTCGGAAGTATTGCACATCAGTATTTGCATGATCGTGAGGAGCATGATAGAATTGCTCGGGAATGGACAAAGAGGTTTGTATTTTTTATAACAAGGCATGGCCTAATGTAATACGTATTCTAACATCGCTATTGTCTACCACGTTAGATATGCCTGCTGACCCAAAAATGTACTTGAAGCATGAGGAATACTGTTACGGATGTATTAAGGTTATATTATATGTTACAATAAAAGCAGACTTTGTTAAAGTCAAGTTACAACGATACCAGTCAAAGAAATCATCTTGAAGTGCGTTGTATCAACCTACTACTTTTGTCTTTTTCTTTTGAATTTGATTATTTCTTGCCATTAACATACGTTGGGTGTAGTCGTAGACAGTTTGATTTCCAAGACGCTTCCGTGCAAATTAATATCCACGTCCTTGAGAACCATGCAAGATATCTTCTAAGCACAGCGAGATCAGCATTACAGCGCCTTCTGATACAATCCATTTGGACCGTATTATGCAACTGCAACCTTCATGTCATGTGAGGTAAATATTATCACTCGGTTTGTGGATCAAGCCGATCATCTCCATGATGGCTGGTTTTCGACAGTTTTAACTGGAACGAAAAATTGCGTTGTTACACTTGACTGCATTGGGAATTGAGTAAGTCCTGTGTATTAGTGCACGGTTCACGTTTATCGAGGAATTAATCACATTGTCACATAACACAAGTCGAATCTAAATACCATGAATGAGACTATATTAGCCATTCACGCGTTAATCACGTCATGTAAACTGTTCCAAAGCTATTCACAAAAGCTGGGTTTCCTAAAAATTACAGTAATAAAGCTCAGGATCTCATAGGCATCTTTTCCCTATCAACCCGTTTAATCACTCGAACAAAAAAAAGAACCGAAAATGCAAGTGCCAAACTTCATTTCCACATATACACACGCTTTCCAAAAATTTTATGTCAATGTTGAGTTACCTAGTGAAAGCTAGTATATTTACTTCAGGAAATGGGAGATTCATTGATCATTATTTTCACTCTGACTCTACAGAAAGTGGAATCGCTCGTTTTTGAGATCAACTTTGATTCCTCGCCGCACGCTAACATAGAGATCACGTGGCACACCGCATTTTATCTACCCCCAAAATATCACCAATAAGGTACACACACATATAGACTCGAATAACGAGAAGGTAATTTATTAAAATAACCCCTCAATGCTTTAATACCCAATTAACGTCCAAACGTGATATTTTAATTTATATATGTTTGTTTCTATCTTCTAATTACGTTCTTATTACATTACTACAGAAAGAACATATTTCTATACTTCTTGTACTCTTCTCTCGTCTTTATTCCCGCCTTTTTCTTTTCAGTCCCCTGTCCATCCATCCCCCCCCATTTTTTTACTTCACCGTTCACGAACCTTTATATTAGTTGCACCTATCTGCTCCCGTTCAGTAAGTGAAGGGAAAGGCATATGCGTGACGGATAGTCTGTCTATGTACACCTTGATACGTTCATAAGATGCGAATGTCACAGCTTGCCCAACACCAACGCGCATCAACCGAGGAAGGAGACCCTTGTATAGGGCGAAATAACCTTCATTTTTGATAAGAGAGACGGTAACCTCTTTAAATCTGGCCCATCCGGTTAAGCTACTGGCTGAACGTTGGATACGGGTTTTGATAGTGTCGATCGGAGCATTAGCAATTGGACCTGCAAAAAGGAACAAGATTGTGGTTAATGTTTTTGCTATTCCCGTTTTAACGAGCGTAGGGGGATGCGCTTATGATTTATGATTGCCCAATATTACAATCAGGGACTCGTTGTCACTCTAAAACATATACACTTACCCATGGCTCCCGAAATCCCTCCCATCAACAAATGTTGATACGTCGGTAACACCTGCCCGTCCTGAGTTCCTTGCCATGTCCTCATTCGCTTCTTCATCTCCTGGTACACTGTAAAGTTTACGGCCTGATTCGTAGCTTGCCGAAGAGCCGTTAATGCAACACCCTTGTACAATGCGGAAAAACCTTCTTCCCTTACGATAGTGAATGCGGCATGTGCGGCGTTGCGGTATTTCGGAATGTCAAGAGGATCGGTCATGGAATGACGCTGGGCTTGCAGACGGATTTTGATCACATCCATAGGAGTCACGACCATTACTGCTTCGGTTGTACCGGCCCCAAGACCAGCTTTGACAAGTGAGGGGAGGGGAGAGAGAAAGAACGAAAACAAAATATCATTGATTGAATTAGCATGCTTGTCATAATTAATCGATTGAAACGTTAGGAAATTTCCCCAAGTAAACACATATTCCAAAACTCTTGCAAATTACCGAAAAATGTAGCCGTCGTTGACACCTTTCCGGTCTTTTTATTGGTGAGTAAACCTTTGTATGCTTCAAAACTGGAGAAACGAATCGCCATCTTTGGCACTATTCCAGTGACAACAGCACCAAGACCTTTGTACAGTGCAAAGAAAGACTCTTTTTGAACAATGGTTGCAGCCGTTTTGATAAAGCCTGGTCGTGGGGACTGTAGACGATCATTAGTATGGTCTTGGAACAATACTAAACGAACGGATTGAATGATAAAGTGCACAAGCTCTCATTACCCTTTTGCTAATCTGCATTCGCACTTTTATCGTATCCAATGGATGACAGCATAAGGCTTCCGTCAATCCTGCTCCACCTCCCGCTACGAAATGTGTAACAAGAGATTTTTTCTCTCCGTTTCGTGACATTTTGATTTAGACGAGTGCAAAAGGCAATAAACAATCCACTTAATCGAACAATAAAGTCTTGAGGAAAAAAAAAAAAGGCCCGTTCGGTTAGAGATGTGTGATCTATCTTATAAATATAGCATTTTCTAGATGATCCCAACTGGAAATGTAATTATAGTTTGATGTAACTAGGGATGCTACCATTTTGAGTGAGCGCATCGATGTGCAACATTAACCATAGACTTGTCCTATTACATCATAGATATGTGGATCTTAGATGCGCGGGAGACCAAATTATACATGTCCATGAGGGATTTGTGACATTTCCCCCCCTTGACTTGTTATTGTCCCTTACGACCGAAAAATGGTAACTCAAAAGCGTTCGTCCTTTTACCAGAGATATGCATTCTGTCAGGTGCGAGTAAATTAATGACCAGGTTTTCCCTATCTGGCATGGATCTTCAGTCGGCATGACTTGGGTGATGGTGTAATCACTCATCCCTTTTCTCTACGATGTCGTAGCGATTGCACAAAAGGCCACCAATATTTGACATTGTTTTGCTTACGGAATCCACGAATAGACAATCTAACCAACATTGGTATGCTCACAAACCGTTACTTTATGATGTCATCCTATTACTATCATTTACTTTATTACTTTGCGTCCATCGATCATCTCTATTTACATCTAAACGCCAATCTATTAAAATGAAATCTACTAAATAACGTCAAACCAAAACTGGCAAATCAGATGGTGCAGTGACGATTATCGAGCATAATTTTAATTGGTGTGATTTTGCTGTTTACATTCACATCAACAAATACAGCCGGCAAAAATCCTTAAATACGTTTTCATGTGTGGATGTCTCCGTTCATTGCTATTTTCTTCATGGACAATAATGCCATCAATGCATAATTGAAGCCTATTCGAGAGACAATAACGGTAAAACAATAAGCTGGATGTTTGAGGCAAAACCTTATCAATGGAATGTTTGTTATTCATAAGTTGGATTGCAACGTTATTCAAGCTGACTTGTGTACAAACATTCTTTATTCATCCTCTTCTGGGAAGATAATGCATACAGCTACCCAATATTCTGGATGAGCTTTTGTTCAAACAGGGTTGAGGTTGGGTTTGTGCAAACGAGAGGATTTCTCTACTAAATTTTAGGTCCACTAACGATCGTCCAATTACTTCTTGACACTTGTTGACTACCTTCCGAATTAGGATCATAGCCGTAATCTCTTTTTTTGCATCTACCCGTTATCGTATACACAGCGCCGCTCTTTATAGTAGACCTCCTTTATAGTGGAGACTAATTAAAATCGCGATATAGTGGATAGAGTTCAAACCATCTATAATAAATTCTATCCGATATAGTGTATTTACTAATTAATTTTCAAAAACTCTCGATACAGTGAATTTTTTGTTAATAGATTTTTTTGATACACTATAAAGAGCGTCGCTGTGCATATCATTCTAAATCCCATGATGTATAAACCTTTATACGTAATAATTCATGCTCGCAAATAGTCTTGTAAGGAGTCTATAAGAGAGTATATGGGGCATGCTGCAACAAAACCAGACAAAGTGAACATTCTGTTAT